AGGTTTAGGTATACTATAAATATTGCAATAACAACCACAAATCAAAATTTTCGAATAACTATATGTAATAGTAATTTCATTATATTCATTGGTTACATCACTTTGCACTCATAAAGAATAGTACAAGATAGCATCTTTCAAATGAAAAGATAAGCAATCTTATACGAATGCGTAAACTTATCCGTATTTATAACACCCTAAGCGGATTTTTTACTTACGAGAGAGTCTTGTACCGCGCGTCCCTCTAGTGAAGACATTCCGAACCACTTCACTTTTGTTTACCATGCGAATAATAAAGTGGATGATAGAAAGTATAGTTAAATTTACTATTATTGTACTTGCACCTACTATATAAAACTAGTTAATTTAGTTACTATTCACCATCTTAATATTTTACCAGAATAATGGTTAAAAGCTTCATAAATAATAGTAAAATTTTTTTTCTGGTTGGCATCACTATGACTATGTGGTTGTTATTACTAATATTATAGTGATAATTACTATAAAAATGATATTCCTGACTATAATTATTTTACTATGCAATTATAGTCGCAAATACTACGCACTTTTCTCTCAGTGTACGGCGCTTGCAGCGTCCACTTTGTCTTTAACCGGCGAAGCGCAAAAATTATGGCTCGGCCTGTGCAACACCGTAATTTCTCTCTCTTTCTCCTCCTCTTAGACATTATCTTGGGTTTTATATGAATCATAATTGTAAAACTTGACGACGCAAAAATGCACAAGTACGTCTCACAATTTCACCATAATTCTCCAAGAGACCTAGCGAAGGGACGTTCGCTTCAAGTATCGTATTATCGCTTATTTATTTTATTAGTATCGCGTGAAATTTCCGCGAAATAGTTTCTCGAGGTTCAGTTGGGAGATAATCATAATTACAGAGGCGATTTTGAGTCGTTCCGTCATTAAGTGAACGGTTATCTTTCGCCGACTGGCAGCAGGATAATGCGGCAGCATCCGAGATTACGTAACGTTCCCATAACAACGCGAACGTTCCTCTCGCCGAGGAAATCCCGCTCGCTCCGAGAACAAAGCTTAAGCATCGTCCGACTACGTGCCGCGATTAAAATGTCACTTTTGAGCCGTCGGTGTTCTGCATTATTAACCACGCGAACCGCTTTTATCACTGTTCCGCCTAATGCGTGTCGAGAACACTTTCGGCTGACGTTTAAGCACGGCTAATTTACAGACGATGCTTACGCACCGATTAATCTCCGGTGTTTCCTGGCCCACTTACCAGAATTATAACGGCCGCTCTCACCATTCACGAAGATAATCGTTTGATCGGCCGCAATTACGGGCCGCACGATCGGTAGACGCATTGTGCGATTGATTCTCGGCGAACGGCCGCGAAATACCGTTTCCATGTCGTTTTAAGAGAAAGTGAACGCAGAGACGAGAGGGAATCATTGTGACAGAAATACGATGCGCTATTTAAAAATATTTATGATGGCGTGACTTTTTATCAGAAAACATTTTGTTTTTAATTGCCACGTATATAAATATTAATAGAATGTACGCGCGCAATATTATCCAGCGAGAAATTACGTCAATGCATTTGATATGATCAGTTTTGAATTAAAAAATCGATCTTATATTCCGCGATTTTCGCCGCAACCTGCACACTGCACGTGTATTGTAGACTAAGCCGTAATAATTGCATTGCCCTTATTTTTAGCTCCGTGCGCTTCTCTATACAAAGTTTGATAACAGAAATATAATTATCGGATGACCACAAAGTGCAGGAGACCTACATTAAAGCTCAGAAGCTTGTATAATAGGATTTGCAGACGCGCGAACTTTATCCAATATGCAGCTTTTGTTACAAACAAATGCCCGCGTTTCACGAACAATTGACGTAAAAGTCTTATATTATGCTTGTATGCTTAAATTGCCTCGAATTGTTGTTTCCTCTAATGTTTGTTACTTTCCTCGATTGGCAAATTCCAATTCTTCCAACACGCTGAGTTTTTTATTCATCGAGAAAGACTCGTTTATCTTGAGTCTTGCAAAATCATGCTTCTAATTTTTATTCGCAGATTAATTATCACGAAAAGCAGTATTCCGTCTCGTCAATTTAGGTCCTGGCACGCCAATACTTTTTTCGTTGCACAAATAAGAAGAATATCCAGTTCCTATATTTTCTGATATTTATATATAGTATAACCACGAAACAACCGCAATACCTAAAATTATGAATTATTTCTCCGATCGACAATCTATATGTCAAAGAGTCCTCCCCGTCCCGACTCGGTGTGGAGGTCAGTCGCGGAGATAATGTCGTCACGTGCGCGGGGCGAGACGTCGGATGAAAAATTCACGAATTGGCGCGAGACCGGCGCGAAATGGATCGACACACATGGCACACAGCAGAATTCAGTAATAGTCGGCGTGCCGAACTAATAAGAATGCCACGGCCGGCCCCGACCGAAAATAGTGCAACAAGTGCGGTCGCAGTAGCGACAGCTGCGACGGCGCGGCCGTGGCACCGCGAATATCGTATTAGGAATTTTCGCGAGCGTATTATCTCGGCGAGTTTATTTCTCACGAGCAGTAATACGCCTTCAGTCTCGCGCAATAACATCGGCACCCTGTATCGTTTGCCTGTATCGTTTATTTGACGGATTTTCTTCTCTCGTCCGCTGCGAGTTTATCGCCCCGTGCCATTCCGTGTTAATTTCTCGCTCGAAATTTGCCAGCTCGCACCGACAGCGCGCGGAACAGCCGGATGATCCAACTTTGATTTGGATTGCTTTAGTACGAAAATCATTATTGTGTTTCCTACGGAATTTAGGAGTACATATAAAGTGACATAGAATCGTTAATTGAGGATCTTGAAAAGGCAAGAAATGAGAAAGTTTGCCCTCATCTTCTTAAGAGTTAAAAAAAGAGACTTTTTCATTATCAAACTAAATACAGACTAACGGAATTTGTTGTTTCATGAACTATTTTGCAAAAGATATTTTATTGTCGGCTATTTATAGGTCAAAAAATTTAGTTTTCATGCTTTTATTAACTTAGGCAGTTTCTTCTCTTTTAATTTAACTAAAAAACATTAAAAATATTGTATTAATGCATTAACCGTTGTTCTATGATTGATAAAAAAATATGATGGTGATATATGTTCCGAGTAGTTTTCTAAATATTTACGCGAATTTTAGATAGAGAGAGAGAGGGGGGGAGGAGGAAAGGAGAGAGAGACAGGGAGAGACAGGGAGGGAGGGAGGGGAGAGCAGAAAACAGAGCAAGTTAATTTCTAGAAAAATGTATAGAAGAAAGATGGTTGCGGCGATAGATGGTACAGCTGTTTCGCGTTCAATGTACGCATCGAAGCGTACATCACTTTGTCAAATTTTCACACAATAACATTTGAAGCGTCGCTTCGCTTTATTCGGAATATCGATTGGTACCGTTTCTATTGGCTTTACGTATGGCAGGAAGCTTTTAACTTTCTGCTGTGACGTTGTAGATTCGTTGCACGTTGGCAGCGCTTCTTCTCCGTCGTGAAACGCAGGTCTCGAGAAATACGGGAGAATTTAGAAAACGATGTCGTCGAGAGCGGAGTTACGCCATTGATCAGAAGTTCACTCTCGTAACAAACTGATATTAATACGAAATATTTCGTCGAACAGGCACTCGCAGATAGAACTCGCACAACAGGGTGAAATGAAATTACCGCGTGCCCTGTTTACAATCGCGCAAAACTTATTAATACGCTATATCGCACCAAGTTCAATGCAACATGTATGATGTAATAAATAGCAAATATCGAAATTGCATACATGGGAGAATATATGTTATTGAAGGCTCAAATGTTTTGGACTGTTTAATGAGCAAAATATTTAAAGGAATTATGAATTTTGCGTTTCAGTGCCGATGGTAATTACGAGGTGACCATCATGACTAAAGCGATTTTGCATCACACCGGGAAGGTCGTGTGGAAGCCACCGGCGATCTATAAATCATTTTGCGAGATCGACGTGGAATACTTCCCCTTCGACGAGCAGACTTGTTTTATGAAATTTGGTTCGTGGACTTATGACGGTTATACGGTAAGTATCGTGAATTATTATTTTATGTACAGATCATAGTTTTGTGCCTGTCAAATATTTGTGTTAAAATAATTCAGTTTCCAAGTTGTTCCGTAAATAATATTACAATGCGGTAAAACAACACTGAAGAAATTGTGAAACGGTAATTCTGACTAATGTAATTCTCATGTAATTTTGCAGAAATAACTGTGAACATTTTCACAACCGGTCATAAAAAGATAGTTTACGTAGAATATTTTATAATAATTTATCTCGAGCTTAAATATATTATAAATGAACGTCATATACATATTTTTCTCAAAAGTAAAGAGATGCTTTTTTTGTACGATATTTTCCAATTATAAAAATTCGCCTGCCGTAAAATATATTCCACAATTTTTGGATATATATACATATATAACGCAAAAGTAATTTAAATAATGTTATATACACGTTCATCGTTTGCGTTAAATTACACTCGTATTCACATGTTACGAAAAGGCAAATTTTTAAATATTTTTATTACTAAATTATAAATTTCATGTATAAAGCTTATAAGCGTTTTTAAATTTATCCGCAAAAAGTTCAAAAGTAATACTATTAACGTCATTTGTTATTATGTACAATTATAAATATTGCATATAAATGAGCTGGAATTAATTTTTAATGGATATATGTTGGAAATTTCTGAATTATTTTATTCAGATTGTTTTACAGGCTTTATGTATACATTTTGTCTCCATTTATTTTAAGAGTTTGTAAATATTGCTGAAATGTTATTGTTTATTATCGTGAATATTCTCGGGGAATCTCGTTATAAACAAGTTGTAATTTGTATAGGAAATACATTAGAAAACATACAAACAGATATTTATTTTAGATCTAAAAATTGTTTATAGTTAACGAAATTACTTGCAAGATATTTTGAATGTAACTGCACATTTTTCCGTAATGTTGAGGAATTGGAAGATTTTTAATCTAAAAGAATCACATTATCGATCAATTTAGACGCGAATATCTAAATATTATAGTATCTGTGAGAAATGTTTAAGGCCGGTTTCTTCACCGTCGACTAACTTTGCCCGTAAATTAGCCAGCCTTATCTCTCTATCTATGTTCCAGTCTTATTACGCTCTAGAGAGAAACAGAAAAGCTGTAATCTCTCGGATAACTTTTTCCGACAGCTAATTAGAAGTAGAAAAATCGCGCATTAGTGCGGCAAATTGAATACTTAAAAACTGCAACGCTTCGTATCCCTCGAACCGCTAATTGCACATTATCTTAATTGTGCAATTCTGCCAAATTATTATCTGACCGCAAAATATTACTATTAGTTCATCCCATAAATACGGCGGTCGTTTTTTCTTCATTTAACAAATAAGCTAAATAAACTGTAGAATAAATTTTAATTGATTATATATTTGTCTTTATTTCGTTCTTTTGCTCCAGCTTTCACTTAAGTTTTTCTTCCTGTGCAACTGCGATATGCTACGCAGGCAAAATAATTTTTTATTGCTTTATAAAATATCTAAAAATTACCGCCCTACTTGAGGGATCGTATTTCTGATTTGTGCAATAAAATCCGCATTGTGCTACGTGCCGGCGGTATTTTCTCCCGCGAATTCTAATATTAATAGAAACTAGGTATACGCGTGATGCGTAAGAGAGAGAGAGAGAAAGGGAGAGCAGTTCAAGCATCGATAAAACGTCACAATTCTGTGATTACAATTCGCGGCGCCTGTTTGTCTCGTCCATCGTGTTTTCCTTCGCGCTCGGCCCGACAGGCGAGACTCTACTCGCGGACTGACGGATATATCCGTCACTGACAAATCCGCCTGTCTGCGAGAGTTTTACCGCTGTACAACGGCAGTACGTGGATATAAATCCCACGTCTGTGTGAGGATAAGCCATTTCGACAGAGAAGCTCGTCCGCTAGCCACTTCGAAAACACACCAGTGCCGCCAGTGATCAGCCCTACATCCACCTGCGCGGCGGATAGCTTCCGTTTCCGCGCTTCGGTTTCAATTTCCCCTTATCGGCATGTCTTGCGTGCGTATCGGGAGTATTTTCCACCGCGGAAAGAGGTGTCGGGGGGGGGGGGGGGGTGATCAAGGGTAGAAGGTCTGTGAAATTCTTAGGCCATGATTTAGATCGGACAGCGAAATATAATCGACATCCAATACGTTTGATCGATATTTCTGCCAATTTTGCGCGTCGATTTAAATGATTGCATATCACTCACTATGTCAATAAAGCGGCGTAATAATTCGTCGCCGATATGCTTTCATTATGGAGCGATATAAATCAATATTACGTTGAACGCGTTAAAGTGCAACGTGAAAATTCATTTTTGGAGATCAATATTCCAATAATAAATATAACACGGTAGCTTTTTAAAAGGACATTTATTAATTTTATTGTTCAGGGATTATCATACGATTTTTAGAGAAATAACGATGATGGCTTATATAATCGGCTCATAGCTTTATTCCACTCTACAGAACTCGGAATGTTTAACGATGTTGGAAAAAGTTGAAATAGGTCGTTAAGCCGTTACATTGATTTCTTCTGTAACTCAAATTAAAAAGGGAGAACCTCGATTCCCTTTCGAAGGAGGATTGGAATTGAAAAATCAGGAAACGAATCCGATTAAAGCAGCGCGACGAGAAAATGCGCGCGTAAGGCGCAGTGAACGAACAACGATTGCTCATCGAACTATCGACAGATCTCGAAAGTGGTCCAGGGAGGATCATCCAGCGAAACTCCAATGGCGGTCGCGATTTCGCTCTCCAGACCTTATTCGGATTCCGCAGACTTTGAGATAGCCAAGACCTCTATCTCGCGCGGCCATTAGAGGTATCCAATTTCTTCTGTTCATTTTCCTTTCGCCCTCTTCCTTTCTGCCACTGCTTTGTCTCTCTGTCTCTCTTTCTCTCTCTCTCTCTCTTTCTCCTTTCAAAATAATCGCGTATCTCGAGAATCGACTATGCCGAGGGATGAAATGGATTTGGATGGCGACATTGGCATAGCGGATCAAGAAAATCCCTCCGTAACGTACAGGTACACAAGGGTGTGTCGACTAGTTATAGATTTTCTGAGATTGAAATTAAATCGAGTTTTTTCAATTCTTTGAGGATTTGGTAACGTCAGACAATAAATTTTCATTAAATACGCGAACAACCGAAATGCAGACTAAAATATCACTAGAACAAGAACTATCGTTGTTAAATATTCACTTGGAATCAAATGAAACGCAAGATTCGCATCGTCGAAATTCAATTCGACGTTCTTAATTTATTTTTAGACGCTCGATACGCTCTTTAAACTTGTAATAGTTTCACTAAAAAATTGTTAGTGTCTTGACGGTGCGATAAGCGGCTAAAATAAATTCTTTGATTTAGCCTCTAGCGTTTGTACATGAGAGAAAGTGCCCGATGTTCCGGGCCATCCTATGCTGCTTTAGAGTGCGGGCGGGGATATATGTCCACAGCACACTCTTGAAAGTCAACCGCGAGATGTTATTTATCGCGAGGGTCTGTATCAGAAATGTCTTTGTGTAAAAGTCGTGGAGTCCATAAATCCCAAGGCGCAGCAGTTTAAGCCACAATGACTCTCTCTCTCGAGCTATTGTCTTCTTCAGATTCGGACGACGCGAAAAAATCATGCTCTCGCGTTTACGTTTCTCTCTTGGATATCTCTCGCATATAAAATATTTTGGAACAATGCAGGTGCAAATTGGCTGGCGATATCATATCTCAGAAAATATTCTTGTCCTCGCCCTTTGCTCTCGTCAGGATATTAATATATATATACGTTCAGTAATTGAATATCACTTGCCATTTTATACTGACAACTCAATTTCAATTCGTGATAGCTGGCACGTTAATCTAGGTGATTGTTAATTAACGGGATAACGTGTACATCAACGCGCTTACATATGTAGAACCATGTTACACACGTTGCCATCGCTTCATCCGTCCAACTCCTTCCGGGACGCCGATTATCCGGGGCACTGATTAGACAGCGCACTGAGATAACAATCTTTAGGTACTCAGAGTGTTCCGTTGATTTATCTCTCGTCGGTTTGTCGTGTGTTTCGATTATGTACGACATTGAACTGCCGAGTAGTTGAGGATTAGGATGCCAGATGCGATGGAGTGGAATAACAATTCGGATTTAGCTATTGCAGTTTTGGATCAGGCCTCCGAGATCGTTTCAATGACGCGTAGTTTGAAAGCCGGGGATTCGTTCGGAAGATTAGCTAAATTAGAAATCTTGAAACGGATTACAATGCTATCGCAAGGAAGATTCATCGGATTGCGGTCATATACTTTAGATGAATATATAAATGTATACTGCTACAATACACATTTCCCTCGATGATAACGACACGTGTCTGTTAAAACGAGATGAAAAGGATGAGTAGAAGACAAATCATTTCAATAAAATTAACGGTTTTTATTTCTCTCGTAGAGTAATAAATTTAGTCGCCACGTTTTTAGCTACGGCAGCTACATTTTTCTATTCGTGCAAGCCACGAAAAAGTTTATAAATTCAATTCTTTATTACAGAAATATTTGAACAATAATATGAATGAACTTGATTTCATAATTGAATTTTATAACTGGTGTTTACAGTTGTAAAGGAATGATAAAAATTATTCTTTGGTCGACATACAATATGCAAGTCCCATAGAACTCGCGCAGTGCTAAATATCTAGGTTGTACTAAATATTTACTAATGTAAGGTATAAATTTATTTTAATAATATACGCATGAATTTTGCGGCAATGTGTTTTAAGATAAAATATTCATGCGTATTTGCGCGCAAGGTATATATTTTATTATACCAACATTAAACGAGGTTCGAAAGCTACGAAATCTCGATGTTGAAACATTATGCGGAAAATATTTTGAAAATGTAAATAGTAAAACATTTTACGCTGCAGGCACGCACGGTGACAGAAATTATTTGCAGTTATTTGCAAAACTATAATATACATATATCATTATTAGCGAATGGTAGAAAGAATTGGTTGTGATTCTGCCGCAGAGAGCGCAGTTTACTTGGCCGAGAGTGCAAATAATCCGTGATATGCGTCTAGTTTTTGGTAGCGATGCGCACAGGCGATGTCCGATTCCACTCACGTTCGATCCTTGCCGTGCTCGCAGGTCGACCTGCAGCATCTCCTGCAGACCGAGGACTCGAATCAAATCGACGTCGGGATCGACCTGACCGACTATTACATCTCCGTCGAGTGGAGCATCATAAAAGTGCCTGCCACGAGGAACGAGGCGTTCTACATATGCTGCGAGGAGCCGTATCCCGACATCGTGTTCAACATCACCCTGCGCCGCAAGACCCTCTTCTACACGGTGAATCTGATAATACCGTGCGTGGGCATATCCTTTCTGTCGGTGCTGGTATTCTACCTGCCGAGCGACAGCGGCGAGAAGGTCTCCCTGTCGATTTCGATACTCCTCTCGTTGACGGTGTTCTTCCTGCTGCTGGCCGAGATAATACCGCCCACGTCGCTGACGGTGCCGCTTCTGGGCAAGTACCTGCTCTTCACCATGGTGATGGTGACCGCGTCCGTGGTCGTCACGATAGCCGTGCTGAACGTCAACTTCCGCTCGCCCGTCACCCACCGTATGGCCAGGTGGGTGAAGATAGTGTTCATCCAGGTGCTGCCGCGCTTCCTCCTGATCCAGCGGCCGAAGAAGGACGATTACGACGATTATGAGGATCAGGGCAGGGGCGGCGGCGGGATCGGCGCGGACGACATCGACGACAACGGCGTCGACGACGACGAGGACGACGACGAGGACGATGTCGAGGCGGCGAACGGCAAGCCGCCCGAGGGCATCCTCACCGATGTGTTCCATGTTCCAGAGACTGATAAGTATGACACGTACTACGGCAAGAGGTTCAGCGGAGAGTACGAGGTACCGCCGCACGGTCTGCCACCGCCAGCGACGAGGTACGACCTCGGCGCCGTCGGGACCGTCGGCACCGTCGCACCCTGCTTTGAGGAGCCCCTACCCTCGCTGCCACTGCCGGGGGCGGACGACGACCTCTTTGGGCCAGCTAGCCCTGGATACGCTCACGAGGACGTCAGCCCCACCTTCGAGAAGCCGTTGGTACGCGAGATCGAGAAGACCATCGACGACGCCCGTTTCATCGCCCAGCACGCCAAGAACAAGGACAAATTTGAAAGCGTAAGTATCACATTTACATCTATAATGTTCGCCAGTTTACTCGTCAGTTTCGAGTCATTGTACGGATAATGTTATCGTTGAGGTAATACCGAAGAAAGAAATGCGTATAAAATGGATATACCGTAATAACTTCTGTTACGCTTGTGCGCTCGTTCGTCGCAGCTATATTGGATTACGATGCCAAAAAGTGAAAAATTATGCGAACATTCGCGCCATGCGAATAATCCTTCTTTTTCAAATATCATGGGCCATTAAAACGTGCCAAAGATTATACCGTTCGATTCATCTCCACTAATAAAATGGCTGCGCAATTAAATCTATGCAGATATTAAATCTATACGCATGTCCTATATTTTTTGCCAAGTTAAATTTTATATAAAAAAAAATGGAAACCATTTACGGCTGTTAATTTAAAAATGCAATCTTCGGCATATTTCAAAAATCTATTCCATCGGATATACGAGGGAACCAACTTATTTTGATGGGTGGCTGCAAAAATAATTCACGCATGATTTCTCGCTGTCAGCCGAAAACTTTAATTGCGCGATTGACTCGCGCATTTACTCGCGATTGATTATGAGATGAAGAGATCAGCGGAGGGGAATACAGTGCGCGCGATGGATCACTGTTGCCTCAAACGTGTTTTGGGAGACCGCGATCTTCGGATTATCACCGGAGGGATTGGGATCGTTGCGTTTGACACAGTCGGATTCACACTTAAACGCATGCGGCTGCTTTTATCGCTGCTCGCGCAAACATACTACGGCGCAATGCATGCACGTGCATGCAGAACACGGTGCATGCTATGGCGCATGTACGTGCATACATAACATGATGTTGAGAACGATCAACATTTTGACAGCGGACGGCAGGAATAATAGCGGTCGCGTAGAAATAACACCCGTTCCGATCTTATATAATATAATAGAATATATAGTAGAAGTTATTGTCCGCCATCTTATGTCGCCGTGCGTTCTACCTCGGCCCCGATAACTCTACAGTCTACAGAGTTGGAAAATTTGTGTATTCTTGTTAAAGAAAATGCCGGTTAAAATTTTTGTGTCAAACGTTTAACACGTTCATGTGTTAATTTAACATATTGCTCTTGTGTTGATTGACCTCAAATGTAAAGTTATTAAAATACTCGAAAAGAAATGTTAAAATAACACAATGTGTACATTTTTTTTAATCTTACACAATACACATGTTCTATATTATTAGTAACAAGATTTATCTGTTAAAATTTGCAGAATAAAATGCCAATTTTATTCTATATAACATAAGCGGGGGTTTTCGAACCGTCATTTGACTTATTACATCTGTAAAATGTAAAAATTACATTTTTAAAATTCATTTTGTAATTAAAAATGTGTTAATTTTACGCAAAATTTATTTCAAATTATTTTGAGATTTGCATTTATTTTGTGTTAAAATATTAACAGAGTATTAGTGTGATCATTTAACATATCCGTGTTACGTTAAATTAACACAAGAATTTGTGTGGACCGTTCGGGACATGTGATATCTGTTAAATTTAACACAAATTTTTCAACTGTGTAGCGATTCGAAGCAAGTGTTTAAAATCAAGGACGATCTTTAAATCATACACGGAGAGACCGATATGGTTATCACATGTCTAATTAGGGTTGGCACAACCCCAATAAATAGCAATATTTGGGACAGCTGTATCTGTGGTTGTCATATCCACATTGGTATGATAAGTAGTGGAGGCAACTATATGCGTTTTGTGCAGCTAACTTAGTGAATGTTGCAACACAAAACAATAGATGCCCATACTATTTGTACGGCAACATTTAAATCTTAGTTATTTTTGCTTTGGCCGGTCTTTCCGTTTGATTGAATCGGAAGAAGAATCCTCGAATTTTCGATCGCGTTGTTTCCCTACCATGCAATTTTGTTCCTTGAAAAACAAACTGCAAGAAACCGCCTCGCCAACTGGTGGCCATTAATTTGTATGGAACTTTGTGGATGTATAAGCTGTCTCAGGAGACGTGAATAACGATACGCTCCATTCGTGCCCTATCGCCCTTTAAAGGTGTGACGTCTGACCTTAAAACCAAACGCCCACTTTTTCACGTAACTTTTAAGCTGCATAAAGCAAAGAGAAACGTTTGTGGAAGTTTATGATGCCCGGCAAACTTGCTTTAGATACTAACGTGCTTTAAATATAATATAGCTAATATACATTTTTGATCACAGTTAACGTTACTGTGCAACACTTCTTCATATTACAAGACGTTGGTTCTACATAATATTGTTGTTTTGTTTAGCAGCAGTGTGTGTTTTCTTTATTTTTAAATTTTCGCCGGCGTGCCGCAATTTCCTAGTCGGAGAATATTTCCTCCAAGTTTACAAAATTATATTTAAAAAAGCGTTTAGGCAGATTGCGAGGCGCGAGCGGGAAATTAGTCGACGTAATATTTTTAATGAGCAAACCTTGTAACGAATTTCGCGAAACCACCGGAAGTGGTGATTTGCAAGGCGTTACACGCGTTGCATATATGCAACTTTATTTCGCATAGAACAGTGATTTGTATGTCACACAGCTTAATGCTATTGTGGCGGAGGATTACTGCACGTTTTATTGCGCTGCATTCCGGTACGATGGCGCGACGATGGTGGTTTCCGATCGTAACACGTACGTCGGTCACCGCTGCGCGGATGACAATAACGTCACGTGTATCATACGCAGCTGCCTTTGTGATTCTGCGCGCCATGAAATATCAGCGCAATGAAATATCTCTCGCCATCAGCGAGTCCGCGTGACGCTGTAAGAGGATTATTGACTTTCATTATACAAGGAGAGACGCGGACAGAGGTCTGCATTTGTCTATTTATCGCGCCGGAAGTGACGCTAGATTAAACTGTATTAAGCTGCCGATTCGTGCAGCCAGCAGCCCCGTCATTTAGAGCGCAGAACTTGGCGAGATTTCGCAGTGAACTCTCGACGGCCGATGAATTCATCGAGAGCCAAGTCGGGGGCGACTGAAAAGTTTTAAATGTGCTCCGATTATTTTTTACGAGCGAAACTGTCAAATTACTCGCGGAATGCTCAACGTGGCCAAGTTTGCATTACCGGATTTGCATATACGGCATTTGTCGCAAATTCGACTTCATTTCTGATCGGCAACGATCTGTGTACGCCAAGTTCTAAAGTCACGCGAATGTAAAGACGCGTCTAAGATAATTGTAAAATGTTTTCCGCGTGTGATTACCCAAATTACTCTACACGTACGACTCGTACAACGTGACCCAGATTCTCATATTTTTCGGTGGATCGGTTTCGCGCGGTATTTCGGATTTTATAGCGCCGAACGTATCGCGACCCGACTCAAACGCGTATACTCCAGAGATTTTGAAATCTCCTTCGTAAAATCGAAGAAGCGTCAACTCCGGCTGGGTCTCGACGATAGACATAATCCGTAGCAGCAGCCATGAAATAACGGCGCTGGAGATATTGAAGAAGGCTGGGGTTAAACAAAATGGAGAGCTCCCCCTTTTCGGCCGTGCCTTTTCACACTTTATTTCGCTCTCATTCACCGAACAGTTCCTCCAAGCGTGCAATAAAAATGAGATATCCTTACATTCATATTGACCATCGCGTAGCCCGCTTTGTGAAACAAAACGCACTTGAAATGTTTGGAATGAAAGCGTCGACGGGAATATACGGCTCGCGATTTACGGAACGTCTCGGAATAGTCGAAAGGCGGAGGCCTGCAATATTTTTCTGGTAAAGTTTGTTATCCATTTGTTTTCTCCGATGAGACTGTCGTCACCATCCTTTTACACGAACCGCCGGGATATCTTAATTTGGTTAAAACATTATTTCAAATTTTTAACAAGGGAAATATTAATTTTTTTTCAACGCTTATCAGAAATTCCGAAAGAAGCCTGTCATGCTTTGATCAGAGAATCGTCAAATATTTACTCTAATATAAAAATCGACCTCGAACTTTACGAGAGATGATTCTGCGTCCAGTTGCCGCGGGTTTCGGGCCACCCTGCTCGTGTCGTTTAGCTAAATTGGAACTTCGTGGTTCCGGATATGGCTTGATTTCCGGATACGTAGTTTGCCAAGATAGATCTTCGGATATCCTGGTGCCGCGGTGAGCCAAGCTCAATGAAGCTTCACTTAAAATCATTCCCGATATCGCGCGTGCAACTTACACGTATACGCGGGAGAACGCATTGCGGCAGAGTACCGCTCACTGCCAAATGCGCCCGTTTTGCGGCAAATATATTTACGTGCTCGTATAACGCGGAACTAGTTAATATCATTTTGCCTTGTTAAGATTCGATGGGGAAGAGATTTAATTGGCTCGTCAAAATCCGGTTTAGCGTTTCAGTAAAATTTCGTTCTCATTTTATTCAATTTTATTTCATGTCCGCTTTACAAAAATCATAAAACTTTTTGCAAAACGCGATTTTGTGTACCGTGTTTCTTTATATCATGCAATAGGCCTGTATTATTCCGAAAAATATTTCTCTTACGTCTATTCGGTTACACGTTGCAAATGAACTGTGTGATGTTATTTTAAGTACTCTCTGTATAGAATAATGCGCGTTGGATGCGTATAGTAAATGCATATGCCATGTATGTCAGCATATAATAATGCATATATATTATATACATGCGTATCTAAACACACCGACATATATGTACGTATGTACGCAGAGCATGCAGATGCATTTGCATAGATACGTAGAGTATGATGCAGCAGCCAATCGCGTTGTCGTAGCCAAGTTTTGGCTCGATTTGATAGAACCGCAATAATGCTGTTCCGCATACTGCTGCGTGAAGCCGAATACGATCGCGAAAGAGATCATCTTTTGTACGGATAAAACAGAAAACGATGCGGTTGATATTCTAAAGAGTCCTGAACGAGGGGTAAACTGCCGACCAAAATTGCATGTACACCAATGCCTACCAATGCCCAGTGGGCATTACTTCATTTTATTATTTTATTTTATCCTTTTTATTTTCTTTTACCTTATGTTATCGTCTTATTTTATCTTTACAATGCCCCAGCAAGGTCTAATGCCCAAAAATGCCTAGTAATGCCCAGTAATGCCGCAAATCTGTACACCACAATGCCCTCAGCGGTTTACCCCTCGGCCCTGAATAACCCAATCGCGATGAAAAACTCTCTTTGTCACAAATATTATTTTTATTTGTACCAGCCGAGTTCATATCGGCTCTTTTAAATAACAATGTTTCCAATGTGTTGCGCAATCAAAGATTTAAACTTATTGCCCTTAATTATATACCGACCGTCGCCTAGAAGCAACGTCATTTTTTCACGGTACGCTGGTCGTTTATTCAGCGTCGGCGGTTAAACGGATGCCGACCCTACGAAGCGAGATCACGCGCTAAAAGTGCTCTCATGGCGAGCGATGTTTCCCCGTCAGGTCTCGCGACGGCCAGAAAGGGAGAGAAATACGAGGGGAGGAAATGATGATAGAAGTGGGTAGCGAGTTCTATATACCGGCACGGTGCATTGTCCTCATGGAAGTATCATAAAAGTATTGGGTGACTGTTTTATCGTCTCCGACACCCCTCTTGTCGCAGTGGGAATCTAAGGAAGTCAATACATCCCCTTAGCGCGCGAGATCGATCGTCTCTTCCCTCCGCGTGTTCTCGGATCCGCGCGAGAGGCTGTTCCGGCGGATCACGCGAGACAGAAACGCATCTTTATAGCGTCGTACACAAACGCGCCCGTAAGTCGGGTAACAGATATGCCCAAAGTTGTTGATGCTAAACATGCGCGGGGGACTCCCGCGATCCGAAGGATTCCCTCGTCTTTATGAGATCCATACGCGATCCTTTTGCACGCATTTCTTTTGATGCGTATCATAAAAAAATTGCGATCACTGTTGGAAAGTGCACGACTTGATTCTCGCATTTACTTGTAAAGTCAAGGAGGAGGTGTCGCGCGACGAAAGGTTGAATAGTACAGTTAAAAAATTGCAAGGTAAAATGGTATAAAAATATATTTATTGTCCTCTTGTCGCGACATGACACGTTGACATCGGGAGACGACAAACTAATCGCGACGCACGTTTCCTTCTGCGATTGTTCCCAGGTGGAGGAGGACTGGAAATACGTCGCGATGGTGCTGGACCGCATCTTCCTTTGGATCTTCACGCTGACCTGCGTGCTCGGCACGGCGTTTATTATTTTCCAGGCGCCAAGCTTGTACGACACCACGAAGCCGATCGACGTCAAGTACAGCAAGATCGCCAAGAAGAAGATGTTGCTGTGGGGCATGGGTCCCGAGGAGGACTAGTCGACGATTCCGCGCGGCCCGGTGCCGCGTCCACAACGGCGGCCAAACTACCGTTGGTGTCGTCGACGGCGTCACTCACGTCGTCATCGTCGCTGTCGTTGCCATTGCCATTGCCGTCGTTGCCGTCGTCGCCGTCGCCGTCGCCGTCGCCGCCGTCGTCGCCACCGCCGTCGCCGTCGTTGTTACCACCACCGTCGCCGCCGCCGCCACCGCCGCCGCCGTTGTCGTCGTCGCTGTCGTTGCCGTTATCGTCGTCGCTGTTGTTGCCGTTCCCCGCGGCCGCCCATCATCGAAACTGCCGATTTTCGCGTCGACGTGGAAGAGGAGCCCTCTCTCGAATGCCGGTGCCAAAGGACACGCGGTCCCGAATGACTCCGAGGATGGATATGCAAGTGAGGGGGTTGCGACGGGACAAGCGGGCCACGAGCGAGTGGCCCTTCCGGGGTAAATCCGTGGAAGCGGGATTACCGTTTCCCCTTCTCGAAGAAGGCGGATCGGTTGAACTTTAGTCCGACTACCCTTTGGGATGAAGATAAGGGCGTGCGACTGCATGGTACGCGAGAGTAGTAGAGCGAGCTTTCGTGGCAGAATGAGATAGCGAGAACGCGCATCTGTGCGCGTGTGTCTGCATGTGTGAGACAGAAGCGGAGCGTGAGAGGGGAAACAAGAGGGAGAGATTGGGAGAGAGAGAAAGGGAGAGAGAGAGAGAGCGAGAGAGAATGACAGGACACGCGAGCGAGGTAGAACGAGAGGTTGAGCGAGAGAGAGGTGAGAAAAAGTGCCAAATACGCGAAAAACACGCGCACCGTATTTTTGTAAATCTGGTTTCATACGTAAGGCTAGAGTCGTGCGGCGAGACGTCGAACTGCCCGAACTGCCGATTTTATATAAGAAGACGTTTACAGCGCGAGGAGGATGCGTTACACACCGTGGCAACATACACACACGTACACACGCGCATTCACACATTACGTATACATTGCACACGTTTGGCATAATACATATTACATACCATATTACATGTACCAGCACCAACGTCAACCCCCATACGCGGCATATTTATATATTTACCACGTGTTTGGGGAAGATACGCGCGTCCATTTTTTCGGTATACCAAGGGGGCATAGCGCGAACGAAAGAGAGAGAGAGAGAGACTCTTCACGCGCGCGTATTCGTGTTAACACGGCGAAGGGGAATCTCTTTAAGGGAATCTGAACAAGTCCCCGCATCTCCTCTCCTCGGATTCTCCTGCTGTCAGAGTTTCTTACACTCGAACCTAGACTGTTCGCAAAATTGTGCAAACGTTAAACTTTCCCTCGGCAAAAATGGACAGAAATTTAGGAAATCTGCCGATCGATCGGCCGATCGATTCCTCGTTGAGTCATCGGTGTTTTGTTCTCGGTGGATGACGGTCGGTCACTCGGTATGGATGCCGATGTGCCGTATCGACGCGAGAACGATCCGGCATTCGAGTAATTTACACGAGCGGCCAATTATCGAGGCAAATTATCCAGTTGATCGATTATTCCGACGTATCGAGTGGCCTGGACAGCATTCAAGCGCCTGACGAGAGCGGCATGACTACCGGGAATAATTGATTGGCAAAATAATTTGCACGTAGCGTCCACTCACCGGCTTGTCCCATAATTAATGCCGCTGATTAATGGCGATCTCTGGACGGATCGCGTCCTGGGTGTCTCACCTTTGCCGCGTGACGCCCGCCGTCCAGAAATCGCGGCCGAGGAGCTCTGGGGATGCGGGGGGGGGGAGGAGGGCCTGGGCGGAATAACAGGGACCGGAAGAGAATCGCGCGAGGAACAAGCGTGAATATCGAGCAACAACCTTGCGAACAACTGCCAATTTTAGACGCGGTCGCTATCTAATCAATTTAGTCGTCTTGCGAGGGAGACGACACGGCGCGGGGTGAGTAGCGTCGGTGGGATAAAGGGTAGGCGATAGGGTGGCAGATGAATAGGACGGATAATGACGATAAGGGTATGCTGAGCGTGCCAAAAAGTGGTCTCAGACACGAGCCAGCTCGCCCACGTGCTGAAAGGTTCGAAAGATTTCGCGTTGCCCCTTTCCCGGATCTCTTTTCTTCTCGTCCCGAGATAAAGAGCCCGTTTTATGCCATTCAATTATCACTGACGACCATTCGTCAATACTTACGAGTAATTTGCGTAACGAAGAAATAAATGGCGGCGCGATCGCGCGGGACAAAGGTTTAGCGACGTCGATTTGTGGACGCGGCACCGATATTCGTTTCGGACATTGAAGGTCCGCGGACGAACGGGTGTAGAGATATTTTCCAATAAATAAATAATTATTTCAGCCGAGCAATCCACAACTGTTAACTTGCACCGTTGAAACAAATCGACGAGGCGCGATGGACGCGATTAATAATTAATCACGATATTGAAAGAGCGGCGGATTCTCAAAAAGAAAATGCGAATTAAAGACACGCCCGTGCGTGCGACGCATTTATCAATTACTCCCCGTTCATTCATCGTGAAAGCGGGGGGGGGGGGGGCAAAAGGTTCCATTTTACTCGTACATTATAAGGCACGGGTGAGAGTTGAGGCTGGCTCGTCCCGAGCCACGAACGTCAGTCGTGGGATCGTAATTCACCATTAATCTCTTCGGCTTCCTCTCCTCGATCGCTGCATGTAATTTCTTCTTTTTTGCCACGTGTACACCCGCGGATCAATACAGACCGCGTGCTCGCGAAAAGACGAGAGGAAGGAGGGGAGAGAAAGAGGAACGCACATCTAGACGAGATGAGAAACGCAACAAGACTTTCGACGTGTACGCGCGTGTGCGCGCGTGTGTATGTGTCCTTGTGCGTGAGCGCGTATACGCGCGCACATTGTCGCGATCGGTCGACGTAATCTCGTCGAGAGCGTTCCGACGTCTCTCACGGAGAGGTGGCGACGGGGGGGAAGAAGAGGGTGTTAACAGGAGCCGAAATGACGCGGCGGGAAACGCGAAATACGAGATGGATACACGTATCCACCACGGGCGTGGATAAGAACCACCCACGGGGGCGAGCAGAAGTTAAAGATGACACGGTTTCGGATAGTTTTCCCGCCGGAGTCTGGCAGGTCAAGGGGGGGGGGGAAGAAGCGAAGAGGCTCCAGGGGGGTAGAAAGCGGAGATGGAAGGGGCGGGGGAAGGACGGGGAAGAAGAGACACGGGACGTAATTAGTGCCGCTGGAGATTAAACACATACGAGCGACCGCGTACACACGTACACGGTTACACACACACGCACGTACACGTGCACGCACGCGCCCACGCACGCGCTCGACACAGACTCCGTAGGTACATTACACGAAAGGACGTACTCCAACTATACACGTATACACGCAAATATAAATACATACATACAGGCATCCATACATAAATACCGCGCGTACGCACGTACGCGCACACTGTTTATACGCCGACGAGAAGCGAAAGGGGGGTGGCGAGGGCTGAAGGGGGGCCGTAGGGCGCTCCCTCGCGTGGCCCTCGCCGGCGATATAATAATCAATTTATTTGCTCACGTAAAAGGTAACGGTATAATATATTTCATATATGTGCATAATAGGTGTATAAAGAGATTAATTACGCTAATTGATTAATTGTACAATTTGCGAGAGGGAGCGAGAAAGAGGGGGTGGGTGCAGGAGAGAAAGAATATGGGGGACATTTTCCACTCGCCGGGCCGCGAACGAGGAGCGGCGGGCGGTGGCTGTTGTTGACGATGCTTGTGACAGGTGGAACATGAGGTTTGGTGTTGCTGTCGCGTGTACGGATCGCCAGATAGGAGATCAAGATACACGTGTCCTGGTGCGGAAACGCGCGGGGGGGAAAGGGGCCGAGTTGGGCGAATCGATCGAAGGAAGGGCGGATTAGCGCGCTGGGACTCTCTCCCGTGACAGCGAGAGGACAGCTCGCGAGGACGGGACAAAGTGACGAGAGGGGGGGGGGGTACAGGGGGAGGGAGAGCGAAGGGCGGAGGGAACGGAGGTGGTGCGATAAGGAGATGAGGGACCGGGAAGGTGCCGGGAGCTCTCCGATAATCATCGCGTCAGTTCTTACCGATCGCCGAGGGGATTGACTTCCCCCAACGTGGAAGCCGGTAGCCTCGGCTACCTCAGCAATTAATTAGCGGAGCGGCAACGGAGGGACGAGGGCAGCCGTCGACGAGGTGGACGAACAGGGAGTCGCCACCGCGCGCGCGCGCGTTGCACGCACGGCGAGAAGAGAAGAAGGAGAGTGGATCGGAGTGCGGAGAGAAGAGAGTGGCGCGATGAACAATAGCGGGTGAGTCGACAAAGCGGCCGTGAAGTCGCCGATGTCCGGCGTTCTCGCGATCGGTTAATCGCGAGGGCGACGAGTAACACGTCATCGTGAACGTGGCGGGGAGATCGGGAACAAGAAGCGGGAGCGAACGCGCGCGGCCGTTTCCGATGGCGACGGTCTGTTTAACTTATCCGACGATCGTAGCAAGTAATTTTCGGACAAACCGATCGACGTAATCGATCGGTTCAATCTATTCTTGTGCCGCTCACATATTTCGATGTTCAGACATTAGATTGATCGATTGAGATTAATCATGGAACGCACGTAATTTCCAAAGTCTTCTGTATTTGCGATAGTATTTGCAAAAAAAAAAAGATCGGTTCCGTTCTTCTCTATCAACACGGCTATCCGCGTCGATAGGAGTGTTAAAGGTATTAAAAGGGATAATCCATCGCGCGCGACGTAAGGATTAACATAACTTTGTGCATTCGCCATCCTATTTTTCAATTACCTTCGACGTCAGCGGGGAAATGATTCTTATCAGAATGCCACTCCCGTCTTTCCGTGGACGGTAAAGAATTTGTGTCGCGATACAGATCGTTATCAGCATCTGTACCATCCCCGGGATGTGCAACAGACGTTTTCACCCCTCCAGGGCCAGATAAATTTCTTCCCGTTTCTCACCTTCCCTCCCCCTTTTCTCCCCCCGCGATATCGTTTCGCCCGAATTCGATCGGTTCGCGCGATAGCCGTCAC